ATATTTGTCTTCCTTCCTTCCTCCCTCTGGCAACCCTTATTTATACAGCCCCCAGCTGGGCCCTAATTGGCAGTACCTGCCTCAGCTGCAGGTTTTGCTTACAGCCCTCTCCCAGGGCTGGGTTTTACCCTTAGGCTACATCTACACTGCAAGCTTCTTGTGCAAGAACTGTTTTGTGCTAGACTTCTTGCGCAAAAGGTCTTGCGCAAGAGCACGTCCACACTGCCATGTGCTTTTGCGCAAGAGATGTGCCAATTAATGACTGTATCATGGGTTGCATCCGAGACCACCAACAGGAGCAGCCAGAGTGTTCTGCAAGGGGGAACTCATGAGATAATTGCAAGATTGTAACTCTTGCAAGGCGTGAGGGAACACAGAAATGGTCCCTCACACGTGTGATCCCTTCCTAAGAATCATGGGGTTGCTTGTGGACAACAGCTTGTTCTTCCTGCGGAATTCCTGAGGCAGAGGCTGAGCATATTAATCTACATATATCCTGGGGGCTAGCTGCACTAGGAAAGCTACGAGGTTTGAGAAGGAGGATGTTTCCTGGTTGAGACCTCAGAAGTTGGTACCATACCTTTGGGACATACCATCAACCTTGCTATATTCGATCCATAGAAGTACGTGATACAAAATTGAATCGTGAGAAAAACTGGGCCCATCAAAGCTGTTGTTGGTTTAAGGGTTTTAATGTATGTAGGTATTCCAATTTTCTATAATCAATGAATATCTGGAGTGGATAGCAAACTCCTGGCTTTTATTTGCAGGAGTTCTTTATTAAAGTTTTCAAAGATAAGATCTGTGGCAGTGAGCTTCCTTCAGTACTAGGTGCATGGGAGTTATACTTGCTTAGGACAAAGTTGCTCGGAGATGACAGTCCCAATCTCTATACTAAAGGGTCAGCTGTATTGTCATTAAGTGGTAGAACAGCATGGCATGGGAGGCAATAATGCCCTGCTCTTGCTGGAGATTCATTAGGGTGGCCTCCGCTATTTGTGTTTGCGACAGGAAGGTCATCAAATAATACTGCCACGGCTTGGAGGAAGACCTCCCAGTTCAACAGTAATGGGCTGTCACACACTAAGAAAGGCCCAATCTGAGGCTTCCACTAACAGCAGGCTGATGACCAGTCTCCCTTTTGCACAATCAGTATTATAGCACAGGATGCTCATGAAAACAAAGCAGAACTGGTTTATAAAACTCTGGAATTTCTGGAGATTACCATCACACCATTCTTACAGTTGTATCAGGGAACACGGCTGCATGAGCCATGTCCAGAACATGGCATTTTCTGCACACAAGTGTGTGACTTTCTCTGCCATGAGCTCATTCTCTGAGATCAGCTGGATGACTTGGGCCTGCAGGGCTAGGTTGTCAACCTGAATGCAGGTAAGCCCACTCAAGCATGGCTAGTACTCCCAAAGATTTACCCAGGTCCATTCTGTTGGCATCAGTTCCATATCTGTGGCCTAACCATGCAAACTGTTATGACAGGGGCATGAGAAATTTGTGCTATTAGTTGGAGCAGGAGTCAGTCTGAGTCCTGGTAGGGAGGTCAGAGTCCAAGGTAAGACAAAGGGCAAAATCGAGACTCATGTGTCAGGAAAAATTAAGTTACCTAGGGTATGTCTACACTACAGCACTAATTCGAACGAACTTAAATCAAATTAGTTAATTTGAACTAAGCTAATTCGAACTAGTGCATCTAGACATAAAAACTAGTTCGAATTAGTGTTTTGCTAATTCGAACTAGAATGTCCACATTGAGTGGACCCTGAACCGAAGTTAAGGCTGGCCGGAAGCAGTGCCGGCAGGGCATCAGGTTAGGACTTAAGGGTATGGAGCTGCTGTCTCAGGCTAGCCGAGGGCTGTGCTTAAAGGGACCCGACTCCCACCCCCACCCCGGACAGACAGTTCTCAGGGTTCCCCACTTGCTTGTCTACCTCGATAAGGGACAGCAAAGCAGTCCTGTCTTAGAGTGCCCTGAGTGCCCACACTCGGCACATCACAGCACTCAGCCATCAGCCCGGCTGCACTTGCCGCAGGCTACTATCTGAGGGAGTCAACCGGGGGGCCGCAGGAGAGTTTCCACCCCGAGGAGCCCTCAAAGCCACCCCAGTCCTCCCCATCGGGGGCTCGTACCCCATTCCTCCCTCACCTCCTTCTACTTACTCCTCCCTAGCCCCCCTTCCTGATGTACAAAATAAAGGACACGGTGTCCAAAAATAGTAACTCTCTTTATTGAACAAAACTGGGGGGGATTAACCTCTGGGGAGACTGGGAAAAGGAGGTGGGAGAGGGGAAGAGAAAGGGTGGGAGAGGGGAGGGGGAAACCTGGAAGGAGGGAGCTGGAAGGGGGAAGCCAGGGGAAGAAGGAGGAGAGACTATGGTACACCATATCTTTAGTACTGTCTACAGGTGTGATCTCCTCACCTCAAAAAAGATATTTTTGGCCTTGGCAAGGGTTCCGAAAAGGGCAACTAAAATGATCAGGGGTATGGAACAGGTTCCATATGAAGAGGGGTTAAAGAGACTGGGACTTTTCAGTTTAGAAAAAAGGAGACTGAGGGGGGATATGATAGAGGTCTATAAAATCATGAGTGGTGTGGAGAGGGTGCATAAAGAAAAGTTCTTCATTAGTTCCCATAATAGAAGGACTAGAGGACACCAAATGAAATGAATGG